TGTTGCACTGTACGTACCTGTTGCACTGTGCATGCCTGTTGCACTGTGCGTACCTGTTGCACTGTGCGTACCTGTTGCACTGTGCACACCTGTTGCACTGTGCACACCTGTTGCACTGTGCATACCTGTTGCACTGTACAGTGAATGACAGCCTGGCACTTACCTGTAAATGCAGCTGGGTGAGCTGAGGTGGCAGACTCTCAGGAACACGGGTCAGGTTGTTGTTGGATATGATTAATATATTGACCATGTCCGAGCCACTGAACATGGCCTTAGGGAGGCCTGCGTTGGTCAGATTATTGTTGTGGAGATACACAGACCTGTGGGAAAATAGTCACCATCAGCTGGGGTGGAAAGCAGTGGGAATGTTCATCTGGAGGGAAGCATTAAGACCATAAGAAATAGGAGCAGGAGTAGGTCATTCGGCCCTTCAAGCCTGCTCTACCACTCAATAGGATCCATCATTCCTCAAGTCAATTCTTCTGTCCTTTTCCTGTGACCCTTCATCGAGAATGTATCTACCTTAGCCTCAAATATACAGAAGGACTCTGCTCCCCACAGCTATCTGGTAGCAAGGAGCTCAAAAGCCTCACAACCCTCTGAGAGAAGAAATTCCTCCTCATCTCAGTCTTAAATTGGTGCCCCTTTATTCTGAGACCGTGCCCTCTGGTCCTAGACTCTCCCATGAGGGGAAACACCTTCTCAGCATTTACCCTGTCAAGCCCCTGAAGAATCTGAGATGTTTCAAGGAGATCACCTCTCATTTATAGACTCAAGTCTTGAATTGACTTGACTGCATAACCTTTTTGACTTGGCTGGAGGTGTGCTGAGCGTTTCAGCAGTTTAATGTTTAATAAATTTTTTTCCACTTCACACCAGCTCAGCTCAGCTCATAACAGTACCGCACCCCTCCCAACTCCCAAAAACCCCAATCTCCCACAATTCCTGAAATCCTGGTTTACACTTTCACCTCCTGGCCTGATTTTCCCCAACAATTTCTCTCCATTTGTTTCTCAAGTTCCATCTCACAGAGTGCAAAACACAGAATGGGAAGCAATGCTCTGGACTCCTTCCCACACTGTTGCCCACCCACAGCCTCATTAACAAAGCTCACCACGCCTCTCTCGAGCCGTCATCGCCAACTCCATCCGGGCTCTTTGGAAATCCTCCACTGCCGTATTGGGAACAAAATGGTCACTTTTTCCTCCAGATTCCCTCCCAAAACTGTGTCCCGCTGCCTTGCTCTCTCTCTCTCTGTCCATCAGCGTAAGCCTCTCCAAACCTAATGCTTCACCTTTATGTGGGCCCCCTCTGCTAACTCTTCACCATGGTCTGCCCAATGTCAACTCCATCTGCATGTCTGGTGCCCCGCTGTGGGATACATTCACAAGGTGAAAGCCCTGGGCTGGGGTCATATATTTATTTATTTGCTAAAGCTGCTGTCTTTGTTCCTTTTTCAGCCACCTCTGATGTACTTCACAGCTCACATATATCACAGAGAGTCAGGTGCTTGTTGAGTCAGATATCTGGAAGTTTATTAACTGCTCCAATTATTTACATGGCTACAATATCAGGCAGCTTTACCCACGCGGACTGTGCTCAATGATGTTGCTGTACATTTCATACACTTAACCACCCAAAGACACCACACGCTGACTACATTGCAAGTGAGAGTGATTGAAGGCGAGGCAGGTACTTTTATACTGGAACATCATGTGTTATGATGTCATGTCACTATCTTAAAGTACTGTGCCCTGAAATCTAGGCCATAATGCAACAAATTCAGCATGCAATGGTCAGTTCCTCTGATGTTTGCAAATCCTTTACCCGTATACCACATTATGTATAGTTTGGAGGTACAATCACACCCAAAGTCCAGGATTGTTACAGACTGTAGATTGACTGAGGAGCATACTCACAGAACCACAGGACCTGATACTAATAGGTGTGACTATTAAAATGATTAAAAATGGTACTAATTACTTATTAAAATTATTAATAACAATTATTAATTGCAAACAATTAAGAAGAGAAATGGGTTTTATTGCAAGGGTATTGGAGTATAGGAGTAAAGAGGTCTTGCTACAGTTGGCCTGGGTTTTGGTGCAACTACGTTTGGAATAATGTGTGTAGTGTTGGTCTCCATATTTTGGGGAAATGCTGGGATTGGAGTGGTATGGTGAGGGTTCATTAGGTTAGTCCCTGTGTTATCCTATGATGAGACACTGTGTAAAATGTGCCTGTTATCTCTGGTGGTTAGATGGTTTACAGATGATCTCATTGAAGCACTTGAGATTAAGGCCAGAAGACATAGTAGTGGAAGCAGGCCATTCGGCCCATTGAGTCCACTCCACCATTCAACGTGATCACAGCTGATCTGTTAATCCTCCACTCCACTTTCCTGCCTTACCCCATAACCCTTGATTGTGTTAATTTTGAACAGTTTTAATAATGCTGAGAGATTGCTCCCACTGGTCTGGGAATCTAAGATGCAGGGGCACAGTTTCAGGGTAAACGAGCCTATCATTTGGGACTGATGTAGATTTAGAACCTACGACACAGAGCTAAGGCAGGATGGTGGAATTAGATCCATATTCACCATGATGAAATCACATGGTGTAACTAACATTGAGTACTTGTGTTCCTAAATCAATACCACAACTGAAACAAAATCCCTTTACCCGCGATGGTGTCATACCAGTTGAAAGGGAGAGTTTAACTCTTTATTTCATCTTAAACTAGACAGACTTGAGTTTCATTTTGAAAAAAATGGCATTCAATTGCAAGAACAAAGGTGTTATACCATTTTTACACATAGCAAGCTTCCAATCAAAAGGTTACACATTTACTCACCTATGTCTCTAGCCAATCATGATTGCATAGTTCACATTCCAAGTTAGAACATGTGACTGTATTATCCAATCATGATCAAACTACTATATGTGGTGATATTATTCCAATTACATATCGTTAAATGTTTACAGCTCCGAGCAGCTAGTATATCCTGGAACTTTTGGTGCGTATTTTGTGGTTACACGAACCTATGCTGTCTATTTTCACCCCTTTCAGTCCCTCCTATTGCCTATACTGTCAACCTCACACACAAAACACCACCAGTTTTGGCCCCAGAAAACATGTGGAGGTGTATAAGTCAACCTTTCTTTCTAACTATGAGAGATTAGACTCACAAATACCTAAGGTGGTGATCACCAACATAACACAAAGAGACCATAAGAAGTAGAAGCAAGAGAAGGCAGTTCGGCCCCTCAAACCTGCTCCACCATTCAATAGGATCATGGTTAATCACTTCAATAGGATCATGGTTAATCACTGTTATGTTTGGTGTGTCAGTTTGGCAGCACGGTGGCTCAGTGGTTAGCACTGCTGCCTCACAGCACCAGGGACCCAGGTTCAATTCCACCCTCAGGTGAATATCTGTGTAAAGTTTGCACATTCTCCCTGTGTCTGTGTGAGTTTCTTCCCACAGTCCAAAGACATGTAAGTTAGGGTGGACTGGCTGTGCTAAATTTCCCTGTAGTGTCCAGGGGTGTGTGGACTAGGTGGTCACAATGGGCTGAATAGCCTCTGTTTGCAGAGGGGTTTTTTAAAATTTTTAAACAGGGGTCCCAAAGGTCGACTTATACAATGAGTCCTGCGCCAAGTTCTTCAGGGACCTCCCAGCCTTGGGCCTGCCCAGAAAATAGCTACAGCCATGGCCCTGCCAGAGTTTACAAAAACACAAGTTGCTGGAAAAGCTCAGCAGGTCTGGCAGCATCTGTGAAGGAGAAAACAGAGTCAACGTTTTGGGTCCGGTGACCCTTCCTCAGAACTGATGGTGGCTGGGAAAGTTTACCTGAGTTTAGGCTTGCGGCCGAAGGTGAGAGTGAAGACCTCTGTCAGATGGTTACCAGCAAAGTCGACAATGTTCAGGGTATCAGGGAGCCGCCTGGGCGTGACTGTCAGCTGGATTACAACATCGGGAAGGTGACAATGGAGTCAGAGTTAGTGTTAGCACACAGTAAGAGCGAGTACGCCACTCCAGCCTGCCCGAGCCCATCCAGTTACCCTCCTGCTTCAGTGTAACGGCCACTTCTCCCGTCGCGCAGCCAGAGAGCCATCCAGCACGGAAACAGACCCTTCGGCCCCACTCGTGCTGTTTCCAAAGGCAGCTCAGAGCTGACCGTGTTGCCTTGGGCCTGGAGTCATGTGTAGGCCAGGCCAGGTTGACATGGCAGATTTCCTTCCCCTAACAGGGGGCATTAGTGACCAAGATGAGGTTTTATGACGATCTGGAAGCATCACTAACCAATGCTAGTATCGGGGTGTTTTGATGTAGAGTAGGGACAGCTAAAGCGATGATCTGACCGCAATAACAAAGACGTGAGATGAGCTCATCAAAAACAGAGAGAGAGAGCGCGCATTCACTTCCTAACCCTAACCCTATCGCAGGTCTGCGCCGGCCCCCATGTCCAGGGACAGCAATTTCAGGACAACGCAGAGAGAATGCTTAGATCCCAGGGCCTGTCACACCTCAGTAGAAAGTTCAAGCCTTTGGGAGCAGAGAGGGAGAAAGCGAACTTATGGAAACCTTCAAAACCCTGCCAGGGCTCGACAGGATAGAAACAAGGAGGATGTTACCCCCCAAACCCCACCCTCCCCAGCTGCTATGGTGGTGCGAGAGTGTCTTACCTTGGACAAGGGGACACAGTCTCAGTGTCAGGGATGGGCCATTCAGCACACTGACATGAGGAGGAATTCCCTAATCCAAAGGGTGGTGCGTCTTCAGAATTCTCTCCCCCGCTGGGCAGCGGAGGCTCAGTCACTGAGCACGCTCAAAGGAGAGATCGAGTGATTTCCAGACGTTAAAGGCGTTGAGGGAAAATAGAGGTTGTATGGGGAAAAGGTGCTGGTTAGAGGTCATGGTCTGGCAGAATGGCAGAGCAGGCATGAGGGGCTGAATGGCCTGCTCCTGCTCATACATCCCTATATACTCCAACACTAGCTGTGTTAGCACTGGCCCTATTAGCACTGGCCCTGTTAGCACTGGTCCTATTAGCACTGGTTGTGTTAGCACTGGCCGTGTTAGCCCTGGCCCTGCTAGCACTGGCCCTGCTAGCACTGACCCTACTAGCACTGGCCCTGTTAGCACTGGCTCTGTTAGCACTGGCCCTGTTAGCACTGGCCCTGCTGGCACTGGTCCTGTTAGCACTGGGCGTGTTAGCACTGGACATGTTAGCACTGGTCGTGTTCGCACTGGCCGTGTTAGCACTGATCATGTTAGCGCTGGCCCTGCTAGCACTGGTCGTGTTAGCACTGGTCGTGTTAGCACTGGCCCTGCTAGCACTGGTCGTGTTAGCACTGGCCCTGCTAGCACTGGCCCTGTTAGCACTGGTCGTGTTAGCACTGGCCCTGCCAGCACTGGCCGTGTTAGCACCGATCGTGTTAGCACTGGCCCTGCTAGCACTGGTCGTGTTAGCACTGATCGTGTTAGCACTGGCCCTGCTAGCACTGGTCCTGTTAGCACTGGCCCTGTTAGCACTGGTCGTGTTAGCACTGGCCCTGCTAGCACTGGGCCTGTTAGATCTGGTCATGTTAGCACTGGCCATGATGGCACTGCCATGTTAGCGCTGGCCCTGCTAGCACTGGCCGTGTTAGCACCGATTGTATTAGCACTGGTCGTGTTAGCACTGAACGTGTTAGCACTGGCCCTGCTAGCACTGGTCGTGTTAGCACTGGTCCTGCTAGCACTGGCCCTGCTAGCACTGGGCCTGTTAGATCTGGCCATGTTAGCACTGGCCCTGTTAGCACTGGCCCTGCTAGCACTGGTCCTGTTAGCACCGGTCGTGTTAGCACTGGCCCTGTTAGCACCGGTCGTGTTAGCACTGGCCCTGCTGGCACTGGCCCTATTAGCACTGGCCGTGTTAGCACTGGCCGTGTTAGCACTGGCCCTGTTAGCACTGGCCATGTTAGCACTGGCCATGTTAACACTGGCCCTGTTAACACTGGCCCTGTTGGCACTGGCCATGTTAACACTGGCCCTGTTAACACTGGCCCTGTTGGCACTGGCCCTGTTGGCACTGGCCCTGGGATAGATTCCCTGTGAGTTGTACCCACCTTGGCCCAGTGCTGAACCTGGGGGTTGGAGGTCCCAGTTGTCTCCCAGAGACGCGAGCGCAGATTCTCGACTCGCACTTCAGTACAGTGTTGGGGGAGAGCTGCGCTGCCTTTTAGCGAGACAGTAAATGCACAAGCAGGCTCAGGAACAGCTCAGTCAGGGATAAAAATCAACCAAAGATGGGGAAAAAATAAAGCCCTGAGCCCTATTGGAAAGCTTGGGGCGTCCTGTCCCGTGTCCTCAGCCGATGTTTATCCCTCGATCGATATCATAAAGCAGCTCATCTGACCATCACCACAGTGTTCCTTGTGGGGTCTTGCTGTGCACAGGTTAGCTGCTGAGTTTCCTGCAAGTCCAACTGTGACTGCACTTGAGACACATTTCATTAGCTGTAGACAGTCTGGGACATGTCAGACACTATATAAATGCAGGGTGTGTTTTCTGCTGGTTGGGTGGCTGTATGACACACATTTTCTTCCCGGTGTACAATGGGAGAGTACTGAGGGAGGGGGAACAGGGGGTAAGAGAATTAATGTAGAGACTGGCCCCATCACCCAGACTGTACCCTGTGTGTGTGTGTGTGTGTGTGTGTGTGTGTGATTGAGGGACTCTCACCTTGTTGTTTGCCAAGTACAGGTACTCCAGTTGCTGGAGAGATGCAAACACTTTATCCGGTAACCCTGTAAGATCAAGGCAACAGGAGTGTGAACCAGCCAAATGCCCTAGAGGCTACTCCCCCTCACCCCCATTCAGTTATCTCAACACCAACTCCATCTTCCCACTGCCCCCAGGCCCAAACACCTCAATCTCAGGCCTGATTTTCTTTTGTAAGAATCCCTTACAGTGTCAAATCAGGCCATTCAGCCCATCGTCTCCACATTGATCCTGTGAAAAGCATCCCACCCAGACCCACCCCATCACTGTAACCCTGCATTTCCCATGACCAATCCACCTAGCCTGCACATCTGTGGGAGGAAACCCACGCAGACACAGGGAGAATGTGCAAACTCCACACAAACAGTCACCTGAGGGTGGGATCGAACCCAGGTCCCTGGCGCTGTGAGGCAGCAGTGCTAACCACTGAGCCACCATGCCACATATGTGATTGACCACAGCTGCCTGGGGTAGAGAATTCCAAAGATACACAAACTTCTGCGTGAAGAAACGTGGAAAACAGGTGCAGGAATAGGCCATTCGGCCCTTCAAGCCTGCACCACCATTCAATATGATCATGGCTGATCATGCAAACTCAGTATCCCCGCTCCTACTTTCTCTCCATACCTCTTGATCCCTTTAGCCACAGGGTCCACGTCCAGATTCCTCTTGAATATATCTAATGAACTGGCCCCAACAGCTTCCTTTGGGAGAGAATTCCACAGGTTCACCACTCCCTGAGTGAAGAAATTCTTCCTCATCCCTTGGTCCTGAATGGCTTACCCCTTATTCTTAGACTGTAACCTCTAGTGTTAGACTTCCCCAACATCGGGAACTTCCTTCCCACATCGAGCCTGTCCAGTGCCATCAGGATTTTATATGCTTCTATGAGATCCCCCCTCATTCTCCTAAATTCCAGCGAGTACAAGCCCAGTCGATCCAGTCTTTCCTCGTATGTCAGTCCAGGAACCAGGCTGGGGAACCTTCAGAAAATGTCCATCCTCATTCAAGTCCTAACTCCCCTGAGGTCACCGTGAAGGACTCTCCTTCTCAACCTCTCCCCTTGTCCTGAGGCGTGGTGAACCTCAGGTTAAACCACCACCAGCTGGCTCTCTGTAATAACAAGGCAGCCCCATAGTCCAGCAGGATTACAGTGACCGTATCTTTTTACATAAGCCCCTCATCCCCACACTATCCCCCTGGTTCTAAGACTCTCCAGCAAAGGTGGAACACTCCCTCAGCATCGATCCTGTCAAACCTTCTGAGGGTTTTCAACATTTCAACTCCTCATTTTTTTCCGAAAACCCACTTCATCCATCTTCATCATACAAAGAACATAGAACATAGAACAGTACAGCACAGTACTGTTGTTCGGCACAGCACGATGTTGTGCCAAACTTTTACCCTAATCCTAAGGTCTATCTAACCCCCACCCCTACCTTATACTATCATCCATATGCCTATCTAATAGCTGCTTAAATGCCCCTAATGAGGCCAACTCCACTACCCTCTCTGGCAATGCATTTCACGCCCCTACCACTCTCTGACGTCTCCCCTATATCTACCCTGTTACTCTCAGGAATCGATACAACCCTGTCACTCTCAGGAATCGATACAACCCTGTCACTCTCAGGAATCGATACAACCCTGTCACTCTCAGGAATCGATTGGCTGAACTTCTGTTCCTCTTCCATCTGTGCGTGTATAATCTCCCTGAGCTAACTGTACACAGTTGTGGCCTGGCCTCATTGAAGCACTAGGTAGTTGCAGTTATTGTAATAATTAAGGACAGAATCTAGCCTTGTCACTGGCCTACACTCAGACCAGCCCAATAGTTTCTTCCTGGCAACTGGGGGGGGTCTCACAGTAGGTGGCTCTTGGGAGTAATGGGACTAGGGGCATTGGCACAAACCAAGATGGACATCGAGATCTGGGTACAATAGCAGAAACCCTTTCCCCAGTCACACCTGCCTACCCCCCCGCCATCCCAAACCAGGCCTTTCAGCCCCTCATGCCCCCTACCTTGGGATGGGATCCTGTTGTTGTGCAAGCTGAGGGTCTTCAGTTTAGTGAGCCTGGACAAGTGCTTGATGGGGATATCTTCCAGCCGGTTATTCTGCAAGGAGAAGCGATGGGAGATTAGATAGAAAAGCTCCTCTTTCAGCAATGGTCTCCCACTTCCTTTTCCCAGCGTCCCTCAGTTTTCTGGGAATTCGGGACACTGCTTGATTCTTTGAATCTATAGATCCCTGATGTCTTCGACACCGGATCAGCGGGGGCATCAAGGGTTACCGGAAAAGGGGCAGAAAGTGGAATGCCAGATCAGCCACGATCCTATTGAAAGAGGAGCAGATTGAAGGGCCCTTCTGGCCTGCTCCAGCTCCTATCCCTTATGGCCTTCTGGTATAAAGAGAGAACAGACGGGGATACATCAGGGTAGCGGGCTTCGCCATGGTGGCAACTCAAGCGTTTAACTCTACTTAATAAATTAAACAAATTTATTACCCAGAGAAATTGCGATCATTGAGCGATATTACTTGAGTATCTAATTTGTGAAGCAATATACCACACGGATGGAGCGGCAGATGTTGTATGGGAGCTGTAACATACGGTTGTGCGTATCACGAAGGAGGTGTATTTGAGCCATTCAGGAAAGGTCACTGAGTAGTCGGGGGTGGTTGATAGGGCAGGAAAGGGTTTCTGGGGACAGAATCAAGCCAAAGGTTAGATCTGGGGTTTCCCAAGGGGTAGGCAGGGGTTGTTTCTCATCCCCTATCTCTAACTTGACAGGCCGAACGATCTACCTCTTTCTGATCACCGAGGCCTCTGTGTGTTCAAACACTTTGACGTTGGAAGCACCATGGTTGTGCTGTTGAACATGCGAAGGAGTGGGATCTTCCTCTCCACATAAACCTGCTGAAAATTCTGCCCTCTTCCTGCGCTCCCCCCACAACGGAGCAGGGAACAAAGGATCGGAGAGGGGTCCATTCCATGTGCGGTGGGTTGATCTGAGTCAGGCAGTGCTGGGTTGTAGAGTTACATAGAGTTGCAGGGTTCCTGGGTGAGGGGCCTCGCGGAGGTCTGGCTGAAGGGGGTTTTCTTACCTGTAGGGCCAGGTGCTGGGTGTTGGCTGAGACGTTACTCGGGAAGGTGCTGAGGTCCACGCCGCTGCAATCCACCGTCGCCTCCGAGTTGCAGACACATCTGAGTGGGCAGCTGTCTCCCGCCGAACTCGAGGTGCTCTCTTTCTCACCTCTGCTAAAGGCAGGCAGCATGGAGAGGACCCCCATCAGGCAAAGAAGTTCCCATTGGACCACCATCTGCTGGGGGGGAGGTGGGGTGTGGCGCAGGAGTTGGGGGAGAGAAGAACAGATGCACTTTTGAGATTGGAGTCAACTGCGAGATGGTGATCCACACTAATCCCTGCAGCCTCATCATCCTCAAAGCCAACCCCTCCCCATCAAAACCCTTCAAATTTCAAATACAATGTCCTCAGGGCTCATCTGTTTCCTTTTCTCTCTCCCTAGGGGTGGGGAGGCAATGGCCTGGTGGTATTATCGCTATTAAACCAGAAACTTTGCTAATGATCCAGGGATCTGGTTTCAAATCCCGCCACAGTAGATGGTGGAATTTGAATTCAGTAAAAAGAATCTGGGATGAATCCATTGTTGGGGAATAATCCATCTGGTTCACTAATGTCCTTTAGGGAAGGAAATTCCCGTCCCTACCTGGTCTGGTCTACCTCTGACTGCAGACCCACAGCAATGTGTGGTTGACGCTTAACTGCCCTCTGGGTAATTGGGGATGGGTAATGAATGTTGGATTAGCCAGTGACACCCACATCCCATAAGGGAGTAAAAATGTAATTTGTATACTGAGGTTGGTTGGCTCGCCGAGCTGGGTCATTATTCCACAGATGTTTCATTGCCCTGCTGGGTAACATCACCAGTGCAGCCTCCAATAAAACACTGTTGTGTTTTCATGCCTGGTATTTAAACTCTGGGCTCTGTTGGATTTGATTACCTTATTTCCGGTTTTCCTTCGCAATGGTGTGTATATAGGGTCTAGCTCTATGTGTTTGTTGATGGCTTCCTTGGTGGAGAACCAGGCCTCTAGGAATTCCCGTGCCTGTCTCTGTTTGGCCTGTCCCAGGATCCTGGTGTTGTCCCGATGGAACTTGGTGTTCTCCTTATCCATGTGTGTGGAGATGAGTGAGTATTGGTCATGTCTTTTTTTTGCTAGTTGGTGGCCAGTTTCTTTCCAGTCTGTCCAATGTAATGTTTGTTGCAGTCCTTGCATGGAATCTTGTATATCACATTGGTTCTGTCCATAGTGGATAAGGGGTCTTTGGTTTGAGTTAGCAGTTGGCATAGGGTTGACGTAGGTTTGTGTGCTACTCTGATGCCCAATGGTCATAGGAATCTTGTGGTCAGTTCGGGGATAGTAGGAACTGCAGATGCTGGAGAATCTGAGATAACAAGGTGTAGAGCTGGATGAACACAGCAGGCCAAGCAGCATCAGAGGAGCAGGAAGGCTGACGTTTCAGGCCTAGACCTTTCTTCAGAAA